ACTGTAAGGAGAAAACCATTATTGGTCACTCTTAATAAGGGAACATCTTACAACGACCTCAAAGACAACTAAAATTTTAGCCAATTGTTTACTGGAACAATTGAACAGTGCGTATATGATGATAAAAACAAATGAGGGAAATTGGGGTTAAAATTTGCAAAACAACGTAGACGTTAAATAAGACTTTAAAATGGAACCAATCATTAGTTATCCCGGGGGAGAGGGGGTGGAGGGTTATGAGGGGGAGATCACATGGTTTTCAGGGGGGAACAAAGGGAGAATCAGTCGCCGCCGCCAGAGTATAGAGGGGGGGGGGACTATAGAAACTCCACTACCAGTTAAGTGCCAATCAGAGGAGGGGGTATGATAAGAATCTTACAGAGCCTTAGGGGGGAGATCAGGTGAATTTTATGGAGACAGATCTTAAATCCCCCCCCTCCACGCCCAGGCCATAAATAATGTCTGGTCAATAGGAATGTTCCATTGAAAGTGGTAAGAATTGAAATTCAAATGAAAATAGGGACTAATTAAGACAAAAAAATGAAACCAGTTTTAAGGTAATGGAAAAGAGAGTCATAGTTATAGATGTAAAGTTCCAAAGGACATTTATTTTTGTACAGCGAATTCGGAGTGTAATATGTGGTTGCATAAAAAAAAGGACGTATGAATATTTTTGGTGGATCGATGAATCTTTTGTAAAAGAACTTTGTTTAATGTTTGATTCTTGACCGAGAGAGAGGTTTTTGAAGAGAATACCTTGTTATTGATAAGACAGTGTTTTGAAATTTCAAGTAAATAAAAGTCAGACAAAATGACACCAAGTATTCTGATTGTTATGACAAGGGAACACAACTTTTTCACTCAACCCTCCCGCGCTCTGACTGCACAATGTCTGTCGATCATTTGTGTTTTTATCTCATGTTGGGCGTCTAGATAAAAATATATCTTTAATTGTAACAATTCTATAGAGACTTCAGAGCTTGGGGACGTAGGGGGGGGGGGGGGGGGCTAGACAAAAGTTTGCTTTAGTAAAGGTACGTACCAAAAATAAAGGAGAAAGGAAAAGAAAACGAAGCCTGTCAATCAAAGCGATCGGTCAAATCGCCACAAGCCCGAACACGCCAGTGACTCAAAAGCAAATTTAATTTGATTTGGTTTTATCAGATGAACTATTTAATATAACTTGGCCACCGCAAAGAGTTTCTAAGCTAACATTTGGAATGTTAGCCCCCGAGTACTAACGCTCAAAATGCCTTTAGAAACTTTTACAGTGGCCAATTCACATTTTCAATTCAGTTAACAAAACCAAATCATCTTGTTATATCCCCCAACGACGCAGCGCCATAGTCTCTTTGGAAACTTGCCCCCGCTCCTCGAGTCATGCGCGGGATGATAGCATATATACCCCTTTCTGTAAACTTGACTTCCACTCAAGGGTGTATCAGGGGTTTGGCGCATGCGTGTGTGTGTGGAGGAGGGGAAGGGGGAGGGGGATGTCGGAAGGAGAATTCGCACCTTTCTTGTAAACTTCACTTCTCTCAAGGTTACATGAAGGGTTTGATGACGGTGGGAGAGAGGTAGGGAGAATTTTGAACCCCTCTTTCTAAAATTGACCTCCCCTCCTGAGTGCATGATGGGGAAGAGGGGGGGGGGACGTAAGGAGCATGCGGAAAATTGATAGTTTTAGGGTAGGACTCCCCCTCCTGCTCTTTTTGATTAATTCACGATCTTTTTTTTATTAGACATGGATAGCTTCTCAGACATGCACAACTTAAGCTTAGTGTTTCTTCTCTTCTTAATGTGCTTATGACAGGGACTTTCTATTTGCGTATCTGTTTAGCTTATCAAATATTCAAACCAATTCCGATAGAAGTAAAATTTCAAAAAAATGAAAATCGGTTTTTTCGGGCCCTAAAGTGCTCTTAGTTTGTCCTTTAAGTGTCCGGTAGACTGGTAACGATTTAGCCGGCGATAACGTAGAAAAGTGTGAACATTCTTGGTTGTCACTAATCTTGCCATTTTGTATCAGTCAGCTTTGAAAAACTCTTGAAATGATGCTTGATAAGTATGTCTATCTACCTTCAGCAAGCTTTTAGAGAGTTGTGATACATCGTACTCAAGTAGTAAAAGAGAAAAGACAGTTGCAAGTACGGTTCAGAAGAACTGTGTGCATCAAACAAAGATTTAGACCAAGACTAAAAAAAGGACAAAGACGATTTCTCGCTTGCGGTGTTAAGGTCAAGATTAGAACAAAAAACTCCTGTTACTAAATTTTAAGTTCTATGGCAAGAATGGGAAGCTTTGTTCTTTTCTGTTGCCCGAACAAATTATTCTTTCGTATTAGGTGCGGCAAAGGTTCGCCTTGCATGGTCAGTGCTCTTGGGTTTCGTTGCTGTTTGGCAAACCAAAAGCTTACTTTTGACGGCAGCATCGAAAGAATCAGATGAATCACGAAGCACGCACGATAATTTTCACCAAAAAGTCATCGATTGGTTTTACTGCAAGTTGCTCCTTTCCTGTAGAGGTAGAGGCTATCGTCGTCGAGCCGTTTAAATGAAAACGAGTGAGTTTACATTCATCAATAAGACTTTTAATAGAGAAAGACCTCTTTAGTTTGAGTGCAGCATTGCCATATGACCCATTTCGCTCACTAGCAGATAACCGACATCAGTGTTGTAAGTGAACATTTCGTAAGCATCGACTTTCACACACCATTTGGATTCGCTTCTATCAAATTCAACAGATGTTATTTGTGTTTCAAAATTCATCGCGTTGCAGTGTTGTTATCACAATGACATTGCTATTTTTGCTACTTTTAGTTTCTTGAGGGCAGAAGGGAAATGATGGCCTGTGTGGTGGATTTTTGGAAACCTAGGTTGGGAGAATACAAGGCCCCTTCGAGCTTGAGTTTATACCAGTATCCGCCAGAGGTTTTGCACTGTTCAGGCAACAGGATATCGGTCACCTCAGGAAAAGACTTGACCTTTATAACAAATGTATTTGTGTTGTTAAAATGCGATTGAAACTACAACAAGTGAGATTTTGAAACGATCAGAAAAGCGCAAATGTAGTCATGTGGAAAGACAAAGAGTATGAGTACATCTAAAGCTCGTGAAATAAACAACATTAAGAAGCTCACCATTCTTCGCTTGCGAAATGTCAGCCGAAAAGATTGTGGAATAATCGTGTCCGATTTGGGAATAGGCCTCTCAATCAGCATTCTTTATAGCTGAATTCATCGGCAATCTAAGTTCCCTAGATTTGACCAGTGGTATGTGTTCGTAACAGCCGTCTTCGAAGACGAGATGGAGCATGAGGCCGACGACTTTGAAGAGTAAAATCTCCTCCATGAAGACGATCGAAACGCGTCCATTTTGGTTATACAGCAACATCCTTTGGAAAGTATTGTATAGAAATATTTGTTGTATGTGTATCATTCTTGTAGCTAACATCATTTAGCGCTCCGGCCACGCAATACGTTTGTCCTCTCTTCTTGATTTCTCCTTTCTCCACCAAAGTTTCTTCACAGTTTTTTATGTCACAGCTACGTAACATAATCGTTTTGGCCGCGCGCTAGTTTTGTCACAAATGCACTCACGTAATACATAATCATGTTTTGGCCGCGCAGTTTTGACTCAGATATGCAAATGAGTCACTCACTGACTAAGATGTAGACACTGGTTATTTGTCCTCCTGAACTCGCTGGAGCACGAAACCACATTGGCGCATGACGTTAGTAAGGCTTTATTACATACAAAGCAAATATGCTTGAAATATCCCCTTGCAAGTGAAAAAAAAAGGGTATCGAACTCGGGCACAAACCTAATACTGTGAAACACTTCGATTGTTTATGGTCTGATGTCAGACAAGAACCGTGAATAAATTCAATTATCCTATTATCTTATTTAATTATTATTGGCGACTGAATCGATCGGTAGTGGACGAAAATAATCCTGTGTTTTTCTGACAAAAAAGAAAACTTGTGGAATTCACTGCCGCACGTGTTTATTTTCAATGAGACAAAAATATTGCGATCGCCTAAAATGCCTTCTGAGGTAATTTGTTCCGAGGCAGAAAACCTAAAGAGTTTTGTTATCAGATGCACGCGGGAGTCAACCCTTTAACTCCCATGAGTAACCAAGACAGAATTTCTCCTTATAATATCCGATACAATATCAACCAGATAAGTAGTGAGAATAAAGAGAAATATCAATTTGGGGATAATTATTTGATTCAATACTAAATTCTCTGAACTAACATCATAAGAATTCTATGGTTGACAGTAGGAGAATTACAAATTTGATCTGGGAGTTAGAGGATTAAGGCTGTAAACAAAGACTGTTGCGCTGCAATTCAACCATTTCTTGAGCAGCTGAGGCGGAAAGTGACATATGAATGGAAAATAGAAAAATTTGGCTTGTGCAGGCGAAGAAAGACTTGGATTACAGCGTCTAAATTTGACAAATTTTGCGAACAGAAATTCGATAAACGCAGGATGCTATTTTGTGCTGTTTCTAAAGACTATAAATGCGTTTATTTCTCAGCGGAGTTGATGGTTACCATGCTCGGCTTTTGAGATAAGAGCAACCTTGCATTGCCGCAAGAAATATAATTACAGGTTCACAACCATATTTCATTGCTAGATGAAGAACTCTATGCACGAGTTGGACATAGGTATTCTCTGATTTCAGTTAGCAAGACAAGTCACTCTTTCACCCAGTTTTTCTGTGTAAGCAGATTAAAACCCACCCCCTAAACATCCAAATTGCATCGACCATTGGTCAGTTTACAAAAAATATCAAACGAAAAAAGGGAATTGAAGAAAGGAAGCAGCAGGCTAAGGAGCATCGTAATCAAACGGACTTTCTGGATGAACGCAAAAAAAGTATACGCATCAACAAAAAATAGAGGAGAAAAACTGAAATTCTACTGAAAATAACTTTATTTATATCCGTTACGTCTTAAGAAATACATGAATGGTTCAACTAAACATACCCTTACAAAATTAAAAAATGTCTTGTAACAACTTTTCTAAAAAAAGTTCACTTCGAAAAATAGATTGTTCTTCACAGCCTACAACAAAGCCTCATGTAGTCATCATAAAGAGTCTTACCATACAACATGGCTACAACTCTATTAATTAACTCTTTGCACCCTAAGAATTATCAACTTCAAATTTCTCACAGGACTTAAAAGTGTCAGCACATTATCACACTAAAGTAAGTTTATGAGAATCAAGTAACTGATCACCAAAGAATAATTACTCTAACCTTAAACCAATTATGGCAGTCCCTCTCAAGAAAAAATATGTGAGCAGAATTTATTGCTAAAGACAAAAAATATATTACATCCGATTTTCAACTACAACAAAATCCGAGGCAGTTCAATGTTTCCAAATTATCCTCGCGCGGATAATCTGGTGGTTTACACGCACGCGCGTTACAGATGAAGCATAGTTTCTTTTATCAGCTTTATCAATTAAACGTGAAAAGGTAAAAGCTGTATAGATAAGATTGTAATAAAGTGTAACGGTCTCTAAACGTGCAAGCTTTTATAACAGCTCTTACAAACGTAAATAATCTTGGCAAACAGATGCTACGTAAGTCTTATACTAATACTCATATCGATAAATAGAAGCTATTGTACATTTACCCTGTTCAAGGTCAGAGTCAGTAATCGCTGCTTATTCCTGACGTAAACGCTTCTTAAAGTTGGTCATAAGGCAAGGTAGCCACGTTCTATGAGGGGTTTATTTTACCAAAAGTATACTTTCAGAGATGGATGACACTCCCGCGCAGCAATCAGAGCAGCAACACCAACATCACCAATTTTATTACCCTCCAAATTCAACGTTGTCAGCGATGTATTCTCTCGCAAAAACTCAGCCAGAGCAGCAGCATCATCATCACCAATTCCATTAGAACCCAAATCCAACGTTGTCAGCGATGTATTATGTTTCAAATACTCACCCAGAGCAGCAGCACCCTCACCACCAATTCTATATTCAAGCAAAGCCAACTTTGTCAGCCATGTATTACTTTTCGTGCACTCAGCAAAATGAGGGTAATCACCAATTATATCACGTCTCATATTCAAGGTTGTCAGCGATGTACTATGTTTCAAACACTCACCCAGAGCAGGAGCACCAGCATCATTAAGCAAATCACCAATTTCAGCGATGTTATGTTTCAAACACTCACAAATCTAAAATCGCTTTTCAGCGATGTATTATGTTTCAAACACTCACCCAGAGCAGCAGCACCATCAGCACCAATTCCATTAGAACCCAAATCAAACGTTTTCAGCGATGTATTATGTTTCAAACACTCACCCAGAGCAGCAGCACCATCAGCACCAATTCCATTTAAACTCAAATTCAAAGTTGTCAGCGATGTATTATGTTTCAAACACTCACCCAGAGCAGAAGCACCAGCATCACCAATTACATTACGTCTCAAATTCAAGGTTGTCAGCGATGTATTATGTTTCAAACACTCACCCAGAGCAGCAGCAGCACCATCAGCGCCAATTCCATTTAAACTCAAATCCAAAGTTGTCAGCGATGTATTATGTTTCAAACACTCACCCAGAGCAGCAGCACCATCAGCACCAATTCCATTAGAACCCAAATCAAACGTTGTCAGCGATGTATTATGTTTCAAACACTCACCCAGAGCAGCAGCGCCATCAGCACCAATTCCATTTAAACTCAAATTCAAAGTTGTCAGCGATGTATTATGTTTCAAACACTCACTCAGAGCAGCAGCGCCATCATCACTAATTTCACTTTCACTCAAAACCAACGTTGTCAACGATGTACTATCTTTCAAACACTCAGCCAGAGCAGCAGCACCATCAGCACCAATTCCATTTAAACTCAAATTCAAAGTTGTCAGCGACGTATTATGTTTCAAACACTCACCCAGAGCAGCAGCACCATCAGCACCAATTCCATTTAAATCCAAATTCAACGTTGTCAGCGATGTTTTATATTTCAAACACTCACTCAGAGCAGCAGCACCATCATCACCAATTTTATTTCCACTCAAACCCAACGTTGTCAGCGATGTATTATCTTTCAAACAATCGGCCAGGGCAGCAGCACCCTTACCATCAACTATATTCTCATCTAAATTCAACGTTGTCACAGTGGTATTTGTTTTAAGAACGTGGCTTAAAAAGACAGCTACAGTTTCATCTACTTCTGCATCTGAAAAATTAAGAGTTTCAATTTGAAGAGAAGCACCGACAGCGGAAGCCAATTTTTTAACAAAATTTTTGTTCTCCTTTTTGCATTCATGAACACAATCTAATATAAGTGTCAACTCTCTCTCTTTTGTTGCTATACTTTTCAGAAGGTTTACCGCTGTTTCTTCGCGTCGTTTTACAAGCATACCGAATGTAAACACAAGCACTTCTTTCAGCTCATGGCGATATTTTTTGTCAGCAGCTATACTGTTCAAGCTTTTTTCTTTCTGGATAAGCTGACAACTGAGATAGAATGCTGCGAAGAATTCTTGGAAAGTCTTGTGAAGAAAGCTATAACGTCTAGTGGGTCTTAGTTTACTGCCTCCAGGCTGAACTGACAGAAATCCAAATCCAGGTAAATCGCTTGCTTTGTGTTTTCCAAGCTCCTTCTCGTCAAAATCCAAGTTGTCTTCAAGTAAACCTTTCAAAGCTATCGAACCAAGGTGTTTCAATTGCCTTTCGTAAAGGTCAACAAGGTCTTCACCGTTTTCTGGTAGTTGCTGCTTTGTTCTGTACCTTCTTAGTACACACTCCACTATTTCCATGTACAGCTTCGTTCTACTTTCAGGAAATACACCTTTCAAATCTTCATAGACCAGGCAAAGAAGCGCAGTGTTGAGAGGATTCGTCAAAATTGCATATAACCTGTAATCAACACATAGGTGTGCAATAAGCTGCTCGGCCAGTTTTGATTTGTCTCTGAAGAACTTTCTGATGAAGGAGTTTACATCTTCTTCAGTAAATCCCTCAATCTCTAGCAGTGTGTCGCAGTATTTTCGAACTTTGACTCCAGCCTCGTGTCGTGCCGTAGCGACCACGCGACAGTTTGGCAGTACTCGGCCTTGAATAATTTCTGAAAACATAGGTAGCTTCTTCTCAGAAACTTCATCCAATCCATCGAGTATCAGAAGAACATTAGATTGATTGTGGCGAATGAAGTCGAAGAATCTCTCGCGTTCGTCTTCACCAACTTCTCGAGGCAGAATTTGATCTTCAATGGCCTCCCAAAGGCCAGACTCAACATCACGACATTTGATCAAAAGCACTATTACGAAGTTTGTGAAGCAATTTCCGGTTGCGTGTTTTCCTGTGGCCCAGTCGACAACAACTTTCTTACAGTAAGTGGTCTTTCCCATACCAGGCTTCCCTTCAATTAACACTACTCTTGGTTCTTCACATTCTTCGTGCTGGTTGAAGATCTCAGACATCGTAACAACTCGGTCTGTTGCTATTCCTCTCGTTTTCTTTCTGTAGATGACTTTCAGTCTGGTGTAGATCTTGTCAAAGGAGAAGTGGAAGTCTTCACACCAGGGAAACAGTGCCAGCCAACCTTCCCGATTTTTGTAGTGTTGACGAATGTTATCAATAATTTCAGTTGGGTCAAATCCATCTAAAAAAAGAATCGGCTATTAGTTTTTTGGCATTCTTAGTGATACGCCATACAACACCATGACTCTCAGAAAGGTAAGCAATTATTGGATGATGCTGAGCATGAAGTTTGATAATTCATTAAAATATGTAAAAACAGAATCAATAATTGTTTTATTATACATTTTAAAATAACTGCAAAATAAAACATTTCTGCCTGTGTGTGCAAGAGTTTGAGAACACTGCACGGAAGAGGGGCTTGGAAACTAGGCAAAATTTGAAATCGACAAGACGAATATCCGCTGCAGATAGGCTATCATGTCGATTTTATACGCTACTTCGTAAGGGGCCCAGCTCACCATAGAGTCTCTGTGTTGCTTAGTGGCCCAGGAACACATATCAAATCACGTCAAATCACTTTGGCAGATGTTATTAGCCTCTGAATTTTTCATATTTTGGTAGTGTTACATAAACCACGCTAACCATAGAATATAGGCCAGTTCACCTGGCTCATGGAGTGAATTGTTATTCATCAGTACATCACTTAGTTCAATCACATGTTTTTCTCCCACCACCATAAGAGGCCTTGTTAAACCCACTGGAATGTAAACTCAAAATAAGGGTAACTTTATTTCCTATTTGAGAACCATTACTGAATAAATCATCTTGATTTATAATCCACTCCAGAATGTGCAGGGGGAACATAGATCTAAGTCAGACCTATCCTTGTAAAAAGAGAAGATTGAGGCAGGAAGCACTACCTGCATTAAAGTGAGGCCAATCTTGGAATATGACTGGATCATTCAAAATGTTGGCCACAACAGATGCTGCCATCACACAGGCAATTTGTTTCCATTTCTTACTTGAAGACTGCATTTCATCTGCAAAGTCTTTGATGCCCTTGACTACCACCCATTCTGTCTTAAAATCATGAGCTGCAGCATACACTCCTGAAAAAAAAACACTCATGTCTGTTAACCATATATTAAGCTTATTTTTTTTAGCATCCTTAAAATAATTGTTCAATCAAAGCTTACAAACATTCACACTCTAGCTGTTTGTAAACATGAACATTGCAGAAAGACATTAGTTAGTACTGAAATCTAATTTTTTTCAACCAGTAATTAAAAAAAAATTGTACACTGAGACTGTAAAATTATTCTTCAGGCTTCACCTTGTTTCATAGGTAATCCTCAACATTTCTCAAAAGACAAACTTCTGCCATATAACCCTTTCACTCCTACGTTGGTAATTCTCTTTAACGTCTGTTATACAATTCCTATGATGTTGGTTAGGAGAATTTGGTTTTGGATCAACCAATAATCCCCTAATTGACTTTTTTTTCTTTTCCTGGCATTACTTATCTGCTTGGTATCATGTTGATACTGTAAGGAGAAACTCTGTCTTGGTCAGTCATGGGAGTTTAAGTGTTAACAGGGACTGTGATACTATTCCTCAACTCTCAAACTATTCAACAAAATACTTTCTACATTTTTCAGATGACAAATGTAAGACAATTCATGACACCCTGAAGGAGCACACTCAATTTAGCCAGAAGAAGTATTCAGTCACCTTCACTTGCAAAAAAATCTTCCTACCCTAGCCAAACATAAAATCACTCTTATTATGCAATATACAACTCCTGCAAAATTGGCATGCTATATGGTATATGCTATTTCTTGGGCCAGCAGAGACAACACCAAAACACTTCCTTCAAGTCCAAAAGTTCTTCACTCATCAATTATTTGAATTATTATGATTCTCACCTCCACCTTCCATTTCAACTGCAATTGCTTCAGGATGTTTCCTAATCATATCTCTGTTTGCCTCTGAGATACTCAGAACCACTCCATCACAGTGCACTTTGGCATTATATTCATCAGCATTTTGTAAAGGTGCCTTCCACCCATCAGCCACATGTTTGATCAGGTTACCAATATCTCTGCTGGGGGGAGTTTTGAGTGCAGCTGTTATAAGCTTTGCTGAAAGAACCACATCTCCTAACTTGACCTTTTTGCTGTTCAAACCACTGCAGGCACCAACAGAAAAAATAGCCTTGGGTCTCAGTAGCAAAATGGCATCTTTTGAAACAGACAAAGAACCCCCAGGAGCATCAAGACCTTTGGAGCACCTCATCAATGCGATTTTCATTTTCTTTCCTTGATCATCACCCATGCACCCAAAGTACACAGGGCCAGTACTGATGTGGTAACTCTTAAAGGGTTTCTTCAGGTAGGCAAAGCAGCTTAAGAACTCACAGTCTTCCACTGTTAATAAAAGAATATCAACAGGAAGTTCAACAGTTTCCCAAGGATTAGAGATTGTTGGAAGATCACTCAACTCTGGAAGTTTCACACTGAGCTCTGGCGGGCTGCTATTGCCAGTCTGTGCTGATGTATTTTCCCCTGGCATTATTACTGTCTCTGAAAAAGAAGGTTGTAGTTTTTTTTTAACATTTGTATGTGACAATTAAATAGCTTACCCAAATGGAAATCAAAAGATAAGAAAGATGAAGAAAAAAAAGCAAATTATGGATACAGTTGATGTATCAAGGGAATAAAGATTCACAACTTCAATTACATATAGTTGTGACTTTTAAAGAAAAATCTGCACAAAATTCATTTCATCTAACAATCTAGTATGACTTACTGTACATTATTGACTCTACAAAGTTAGTTTAAAACTCAGGTTTAAAAAAAAAAATTACACACACCTCTCTCCCATGAATTTTGTTCAGAAATGTCAAAGGAATCCTCCATGTCCCCTCCTTTCCTGGCCTTTTCCACAATTTTGTCTTCATGCCATTTGTCTGTGATACAGTCATCATCTTTGAACCACTCTCTCAGAAGCTCTTGGTAGTGTTCTTCAAGATCAGCATCCATATAATAGAATGTAGGATCATCTATGACTTCCTCATAGCAGGTCCCTCCAATGCGCAGAAAGGTGTCTTTGATGCTGTTCCAGTACAAACTAAAAGTTGGATCATCAACTGAAGCATTAGCAGCATGACTGAAAACTCTGTCCCTGAAAAACTTGATGCAAGTGATGTCAGCTGCCAGAGAGGTGTCTGATCCTGGAGGAAGGTTATTCCAGCCAGAGGCAGGGAGAGTCAGACCCCAGATATTCTTCAGAAGACATAACAGTAAGCAGGTGTCAAAGTCCTTTGAGGAAACTGAAGATTTGGAAGTAGGATACAGTTTCCCCCACTGGGAAGTACACAGGACTCTCTTCTTTCGCAGTGATTGCAGTTTGGCATGGTTTGTGGGATCAGTCAGAACTGCATGAAGGTTTCCTGGTGGACATACCCGGTCAAAGATCTCCCTTAGCACAAGTGATCCAACTTCAACAAGAAGGCAACAGAGCTGAGCATAATTTAAGCTCTCTTTGGCAGAAGGATGCAATGGGGTGGCAGAAGCCATGAAATCAAGTCCTCTGTAAATAAATGCTTGTAATTAATACATGGAAGGCAACATTACAGAGCACACACAAAAATCATTACTTTATTCTAACTTTGCAACACCAGAATATTACAGCACTCCAAAATGAGTTAAATATCACGCAACAGATCAATAGAATAAGTTTGAGGCATCTTCCATTTGAACCCTTTAACCTCTAAGAGCTGTGATTGGCATCTAATCTCTCCTTACAGTATCAACTTTGAATCAAATGTATGGGTCACAAGAATAAAGGAGATCATCAAAAATTTAAAAAGTTCCTGATTCTCATATCACACGTTATCTATTTTCTCATATTTAATATACAAAATATTCCTTCAACTTGCAGATAGCAGATGCTAATCCAGGCGGGGCAATTAAACACTTAAGGTTACTGTCAACAAAATAGGGAGCCTTCTAGAAAAATTGTCCTACTCATGCTACTATTAAAGAAACTGTAATAAACAGAGATCTTCAGTAGATCATGGCTAGTTTAATTAAAGATAAAGTCAAAAGGTACAGGGGAAACTTACATGTGCTCTGTTGCACAATATTTGATATCTGTTTACTTGATGCTAAACACATGATTAGATTAAAACAGAAACCTTAGAAAAATATACAGTAAAGCTTATAAAGTACAGATTGTGGAAATAAAACTTTTCACAGTTTTTGTTTGTTTTGGTAGGCACATGTAAGCATTTAAACGCAAAATTGATGGTGTTTGCTATACTGAATTACTAGCCTCTGTGTTACTCCAGACCTTGAAACAAACTGGACAGTATAACTCAGCAGATAATGGGCTAACAAAGAGTGTCAGGCAATTTCGATATTCCTATTGGTTACTAAGAAAATCTATTGTGAGGTTGGATTTCCCTTGATGTCAAACTCCAGTAAATTACAAGATTACAAATCTGCACTTCTGTGTGATAATATCTGAGGAACATTCAAGCCAATTTTCATGAAAACCCAACAAATCTACATACCCTATTAATGTAGAGGTAACTTGTGTAATAACAAACCTCGAGTTTTTGGCCTCCAAAGAAATTCAGAGTTTTCTTGCCTCCTTTTCAAAAGTGTGTGTCAATGCAGTCATGCCACTGACCAATAAAACACAACATGGAACCCCCTAGCAAGCCTCCTGACAAAGAACTTCTTTGAAATTTGCAGGAAAGGTCATTTCGTGAAATGGGAACATGTGTTAAACAAAATCCAAAATTCATCAAGCAAGCTGGTGAAAGTGAACAACTTAACTTCAATTTCATTATGCTCTCTCCTGCTTTTAGTTGACTCTTCTAGGCCATTTGATGAAGACTCTCATTATGCAACATTTTGCAAAATGTGCTAGAGATTCCCAGTGAATGTGCAGTGCAAGATGTGATGTAAACAATATATGCAAATTGAGATCCTGCACAAAAGCCCACAGAAAATGTCAACACTCAGGTGGAGGCCTTTCCAATTATGACGCCTTTTGCTCTTCTGTGCAGGTTTCCTGAAACATTCTTTCTACTGTATCTCGCCTTCTTTTTAAGATTTTTACAGTAAATGAAACTTTTATGTGGTTAAAACTAGTTTCTCTGACTTAAGAGAAAAAAATGAAATTTTGAAAATTTTGAGCAGATTTTGTTGACAATAAATATGAAAATAATATATGGAAAAAAAAGCATCAAAAGATACACAAGAAAAGAAAATGGAAAATGAAAGACATTCATTGTAAAAGAGAAAAGTCCTGATTATCTAAGTGGACCAAAGATATTTTACAACTGCAAGTTCAATTTGTTTCAATTTTGCTATATTTGAATTAAACCATTATCTCATCAGGCTTGAAGTAAGAATCTTCAGTCTCTAGAATATTGCTGCAGAAGATCCTTTTTGTTTCTTTTTTGAAGGATTTCTTTGACAAAATTTTCCATTCATTTAGCATCTCATTCCAGATTTTGACACCTAGAGTACTTAATCCTAACAAGTTGTGATGTTGATGAGCAAGTAGTATATAAGTATAATTGTTTAATGTTCTCACAAAACGTTTCATGATGTTAGAAGGTGCACTGTTGTTATGAAGATCGAGCATTAATTTACATACAGCTTCATGATATAAGATGGTAATAGGTAGAATTTTTGCATTTATAAATAAGGGAATAGCATGTTCTTTTTTATCAGTAAGGTAAATTAAATGCAAAACTTGCTTTTGGAGAACAGCAATTTTGTTTACTATAATTATATTTTTTAGACCCATTGCCCTAAGCAGGGAGTCCATAGGTTATATCAGGCACAATTAAGGATTTATACAGTAGATATTTATAAGGACAGATGATGGAACAATCTATCTCAGCTTAGCAATCATTTGTATGGTCTTACTTATTTCAGTGACAACACAGTCAACATGGTTTTTCCAAGAAATATTTTCATCAATTAAAACACCTATTAAACAATTGATGTAGCTATTACATGTTCTTAACTGACTTTTCTATTTGTTTCACTATCAAATATACTTCTCTGACAAATTCTTCTTGTCTGTTCCATAGGAAATGTAAAGAGAACAGTGTGGAGAATATCAATACCAATGTCTTAGGGTGTTAAAGGTTAAAAGTCAAATGGGGGAGGGTGGACCCACACAATTCTATAAAACCCTCACTGCAGGACCTCCCTTTACTACCTTCATGACTACTACATGATAGGCCCACTACCAGGAGGGTTGCAAATGGTTTATACAAGACACATGGGTAAGGCAAAAATTAATATGTGTTGCGACAATTTTACCGAAAGGCGAGCGGCATTCATGAATTGATGAACCAGCCCGTGGTGTGATTTGCCTTGTGAAATATACCTGACCCCTTTTGTTTTATGAAAACCTCTGGGTTTTCTTGAATCCTTGAAACAAGGAGAAAGAATCGAAGTTTGTCCTTGTATTTACACGACGCTTTAATTTTTTAATGGATCAAGACCTCCTTTTGTTACCTTCAACTGGGTGGGCTTCAGAGCTCTGAAGTTGAATTGCTGTTAAATAGTGAGATTTTCAACTGCATATTAGCCTTCAAATGTGTTGCCACGGGCATCAACCACCTCAGGGGGAAAGGGGCATACTTCCCCAAAAATTGCGAAAATTAAAAATGAAGTCGCTAAGATGTCCTTTAACCTGAGTGAGCATTTTCGCTGCTGGAAAGTGAGGCAAGTTGAAAGGGAACAAGGAGTAAATTATATTTATTTCATGCTTGATGTGAAAGACTTGTAACAGTAGCTGACATATTTCTGGAGTAAAGAACATGTATCAGTTGTTCCTTAGGCTCAAAATGAAGGAATGTATCATGTTATTCACAAAAAGCCAGGAGTGAACCATAGAAAATTGATTTTATACAACTATGCTGAAAACACATTTCTGATTTATTTGGAGGCCAAGTGAATTATAAGGCCACTATGGTCTTTTGATATATTTTCACCCCATGGGAACTAAATGTTTTGCTAACATTAATTGAAGTAAAATAAATTTTTCGTGCCATGAGGTACTTGCAGGCAGATGGTCCATCAGGCAAAGCTGATGCCCTTCAAAAACTTGACTGTTATTTACGGGATTCCAACCAGAGCATGTCTTTCCGACACAAGTTACAAAAGGCAGAGGAGAGATTACTTGTACCTCTAGAATTTTCCAAGTAAATTAACCAGATTCAGAAAAATAATAGATACTCGGTCAAACTATATCAAATAATAATGAATGTAAACATATTATGTGTTTCTCTCAGAACAAATAAGCAAATGGTTGGCAAATACGAAGATGCATGTGTTCAACAAATATGCAGAAAGTGCTTACCGAAGCACCAATCCAAGAATTTAACCCATTTTACTATTAAAACACATACTTCATAGCTAGTAGCCGAGCAAATCCACCCAAATTCAACAAAACAATGACAAATAAGTGAATCAACATAAAAAAAACTACCGATTATAGTGATATCAAGAGTAATTATGAGTTCCAACTCATAAAATACGAGCATCTCTTCAACAAACGTGTAGAAGGTGCGGACCAAAGCACTAACCACGAACTTAAAACACTTGCCTTTTAAAACACATATTTCTTAGCTTATTCTATTTTGCGAAACAAGACGAAACAAAATAAAAATAAACCAAGCGAGTCATACAGCAAAACTATAGGAATAATGCTGTATATTGTTCAAAAGGTAAAGGTAGGAGGAAACGTTAAACATGATGAGAAGGATTTTAATACATTGCCAAAAGTAAGTAATTTAAGAAGTGTTACCATTCTGCGAGATCGACTATTTTCACCCTGCAGTGAAAATGTGACCTTTTCATGTCACAAATATGAATTTAAACATTATATGTTAGCATATTACCAAACTTATCGTATGAGACGAGAATGGCTTCATCTTTCCCGCCCAGTGAAATAGTCTATTTCGCAAAATAATAATTGTCCTAAAATTACTATTTTGGGAAATTAATTTTGTATGAGTAGTGAAATGGGAGGTGACCGAGATCTTTGGGAATACAGTATATTATAATATTATGTCATAATAAAATATTATAATATGATGTTTAAATGTATTTTTGTGACTCAAAAAGGAAGACATTGTTATTAAAAGGTGAAAATAGTCCATTCCGTAAAATAGTATCTCTCCTCAAATTAATCTTTGGCAAAATATATTTTAATATGGTTCAATAGGAGAGGAGGCCAAAATCTTTGGTAATAAACTAATTTGTAATGTTTTTGTGACATAAAAAAGAGGTCATCACATTGTAACCCCAGGGGGAAAATAGTCTATTTCGCGAAATGGTACAGTACCGCCCACATATGCGTTAACCGAAAAACGCGAATCAAACGCGCCAAAAATCGCATGTTATTGCGTATGAGAAAATCGTGCGCGTCAAAAAATCGCACGTGCGCGCACGACCTTGAAATATCGGCCTTATTAGTAAGTAGGAGGTAGCCATTTTGTTTTTCTATTGTTGGCGGTTTATTGTTTTAAAGAATAGGCCAC